GACAGAAGCTCTGCATGCCATCCAGACATCTCCAGGTGTGAAGAGTATAAAGCGAAATAGAACGCAGCAAGATGGACAGAGGAAACACCAATGACTTTCACTGTGCTATTAAAAATCAATATATTTTCCAACAGTATAACAAGAAAGTAGTACTTCAGTGAAGATGGAATACAAGAACTGCAAGTTTACTAAGTGCTCACTCCTCTTACAGAGGTTTCCCTGTAGAAAAGGATCCCCACCATCATTTCCCTTCAAACTCAGGGACTAGTAGAAGAGGGAAAACAGCTTATGGGTAAACCAGCACCTAGCATGCAGATTCTAGAGGTCACCTTGAGCAAACCACTTGCAGCTCCATGCTCAAAAGCTACTCAGGCACTTGTAGCACTCATACAACATGGAGAAAAGCACATTGTCACAGAGGGGTTTTGGAGATTAATGCACTGAAAAGCCAAGCATCCACTTTTATGTGAGAAGTGACAATGCAAGAAGCAGCTATAGATCTTTAGCTTTATCTTTATTACTATGGAATCTCTTAAAACAAGTTATCATTTAACATATGAAATGTAACGACTGCATCAGAGGCCAGTTTAGATTTTGAGTACGCTGCTAAATCTCCATTTACAGTTACTTCAGTATTGCAGAAGAAGAACTTGCTTGGCATATTCCTAAACACCTCAGCTAGTTAACTGATAACACGAAACAAAGCTCAGGAAAGTAGAAGGCAGGCCATGGAAGGATGCTATAATTAACTGATTGGAGGTAATTGCTGCATTTGTCAGGAGCTAATACAAAGAACATCAGTTTATATCAACTTGCAATTTCCTTCATTTAGCTGTAGATACATAAAATATTCACGCATTAGCAGACTACTTACTTCGCTAGTGCCAGATACGCAGCCTGCTGTCACTTTGAAGTCCTTTGTTTCAAAGGTTACTCCAGTACTTCTGTCTGAACGAGGAGAAAGAAATAAAGAGGGCCTTAAAACGCAAGCAAATTAGCCTGAAATATCTAAAGCAGGTTGCATAATTTGATACTTTAAAAAGCCACAGTTCAGGCTATCTTTACAAATTGCATTGCTTAATTATCCTCTTGTGCATTCACTGGAGTATTCTTTGATTACAGATGTGGTTTGTGTGCATGTTAAAGTGGTGTGCCATCAACCAAGCAGAATTCAGGCAGGCACCCATACAGCATGGTTGCAGAAACAGAGCCAGCAGAAAGAAGCAGAGCTGAGCAGTGAAACAATCGAGCCTCTAAGCCAGAGTAAAGCACTGGTTAAGAGCCCATTCATCTGTTGGGGATCACATACCAAAAGCAAGTGAACAGTCACTTATCCAGCCCCAGAGCTCAACACAGTAGAACCAGTACATAATCTCTTCCTTTAAATCATTTTCAATCACTATACAAAGAGGCTGTGTTTGAACCAGCTCTGCTTTTGTTATGACAGCTGCTATACTGTCAGATTAGTCCACTGCACAGCTGTTGGCTTAGTGTTTTTTTTCAAAACATGTCTAAACCACTCAGGATTTTGGAACTTTTTTTTTTTTTAAACTGCAACAGAAATCATCCCACCAAGCTAATTGCTTAAACAAAGCTGGATATTCATTAGTCTGTAACATAAATGGGAAGTTCAGTTTCATCTTTGAAGAAAACTTCAAAGAACATTACAATAAAGAAAAGGTAGGGACAAAACAGCTTTTAGTACTAAGGAACTCCCCAAAAGGCTTTTTGAGATTATAATGTGGAATGTTGTACTTCAGTAAAAAGAGAATTATGTCTTCTAAGATTACTTCAAACACCTTGATATTCGCATAGGAGTTTCCAAGCAGATCAGAAAGACAAATTCCACTGGTTAGTCAGACAGCGGTTACCGGGATTATTCGTAATTATCTCTAGTATGTAGCTTGATCTGTAGCAGACACATGTACCTAAGTATCAAAGCAGCGCTCAGATTTGCTGCAACACACATTGCTAAGAGTTAGTGGTAGGAGAAGTGGAACAGTACGAAATGTGCAGTTTCAAGGATTTCTGGAAGGTATAGGCTAAATACTGTAGAGGGAGCTGCTTCGTAATTTCAGTAGAGACTGAGTATATGAGAGTGAAAAAACACTGTTCTCTTCAGATCTTGAAAATTAGTATTAGCACTTTTTATTAATATGCGTATTCTTTATTTTTCCCCCAGAGAAACACACTCCTTACTTTCAGTAAACTGGTTGCTCTCTGCCAAATTGGAAAATAAATTCATTTCAGTTCATGGTCTGCATCTTTAGGTCCCTAAACACCTCTTGCAGTCAGACCTGGAAGAGTTTTAAGATACGTCCCTCAGGAGTACCCAACACTAAGCAAAACATGCTGTTGCAAAGCCTTGTAGCTTCTGGTAACTTTAATTTTTGCCTTCCAAAAGTAATAGTACTGTACGTCATCGTTTTTGATCCGCGTTTTCTGAACTCTGATCAAAGCGTTTACTTTCATCTGTCTTCCCACAGCAGGTTAAGAGGGCTTCCATTTATCAACTGCAGAAGCTTATTCTCAAAGTGTCCTTGTGGAAGCTAAAACACATCATTTAGAACACAAAGAACATTTACTGTGCCAGTAAACTCGTTTTTGCTGAATTCTGACTGCTGGATGCCGTCTCATTTACGGGGAGAGCTAAAAACCCCACTACTACCTTTACAGGAGTTGATTTTGTTTTGAAAGTCACTTTAGCCTTTCCAGAGGAAGGCAATATCCTCTTTCTCACTCAGCCCCTTCCCCAGGCACCCCACATTCATATGCTTTAGGTCACATTCTCTACAAAACCAAGCGTAATTCATTTAATGTGTACACAGCATTGGTCCTGTTGCGAACCCAGTTGGCTGTCACTCACTTTGCATGTTGACTTTCTCTGGGCTGTGCTCATCTGCTCTTTCTTCCGGCCGTTGTATCAGCATGTCAGTTGTAGTCTCGGCCATCTCTTCCAAATGCACAGCTTTTGGAAAAAAAAAACAAAAACCACACATTTAGCGGAGATGCTTACCATGGTTTGAAAGACATCTGTCAGCATTTATCCTCTTGCCTCATGGATCACATACACTTAAATACAGACGTGTTTAAGAAAACTTTGGGATTCCTGCCACTGTTGAAATGGTTTCTAACCGCTTCACAATTCCATCCAAAGATTTCACCACCTTCTGCAGCATTTTCAGAAAGTTAGCAGCAAATTACAAGTAACGGGTTGCATTTAACTGATAACTATGTGTAATTAACAATTATATTTAAACCGAATAAAATACTGTATACGCCAATTGAGAGTTTTCCAGAGCAGAAACAGAGGACATCTACGTGCCCTACCATTTTTTACTGGAATGCATCATGCAGAGATGGAGCAGTGGCAAATTACCCAGCCACTTCTCTACACATGGAGAAGTACAGAATATCCCTTCTAGCTCAGATTTTTCAGGGTATTTTAAGACCTTGGAAATGATCTGTTTCCCCTTGTTCATTCTCATTCTATATCCTTTATTTGTTCATCCAGAGTGCTTCTGCAGCAGGATTTTATTTTCTTTGCATATACTCCCTGCAGCAGCCTTCATTTAGTTTATGCCTTCTGTGCTGAAGGTATTGCATTCAGCTAAGTGTAAAAGAAGCAATACAGATAGATTAAATACAGCCAAATAACACTACCAGAACTAAAAGGTAGATTGCTTATGTTTATGTGACATATCGTAAAAGGGAAAAGGCATGTAAAATCCACAAATCAAAAATCAGCTTCGTGGGGGCTTTATGAATACAATAGGTTATTTTCAGCAGTGCTCCTGCAGCACATTTCCATATATATTACAGACTAAATGAATCACTTCTAGCACAGAAATATTGTGCACAATTGCATGCAACAGCTGCTCTTTCACGCATTGGTCTCCTGTGACCTGATTTTGATTATAAAACGCGCCATCCTGATTGGGGAGGGGAATAAAAAACTCCAGAGAGCAGACACTGCTCATTTTAAGGAGCAAGAATCTTGCCTAAAGCCACGCCTCATTTGCTTCCCCTTATGAGAGGAAAGACTCCAGATCTGCTCTTTATGTCTTTCCAGACTTTTATGGAACAATGCTCTTTCCTCACTCTACACTAGTTAGCAAAGCAATTGGGACAAGATTAAATGAAACAGCTTCAGTGGCATTCAGCCTTTGTTTCCATTTCTGCACGGCAGCAAGAGACAGACAGGTACCAACCTCTGGGAATACAAAATCCTAGTTGTGGGCATATACAAACATCACTAGCAAATACTGGGATGAAAGGTGGTTAAGGAAGATGAGGTTTTTATGTAAACCGAGCCGTTTCAGCATCAGCACTCTCTTCATTAGAGCCTCTCCAAATGTTGGCAGTTTTCCCATTTAATTTCTCAACATCCCCTGACAAATGTCGGGAGGAAACCTCTGGAGCAACACAGGAAAGGCTGGCAGGCAAGCCCCCATCACAGGGCAAAGCTGTTCACCTCCAGGCACCATCTCAGGGATCCCCATTTATTAGTTAACAAAATATGGGAGGAAAAGAAGAAAGAAGATGGGCACGGCCCCCAGCAGATCACGGCAGGAACAGATCAAGTAGATCCCCGCAGACTGCATTGCAGTCCATCCAACAGGCTAACTAAAACCACACCATGAATCTTAACACCAAGCGACCTGGAAAGTACAACCACTTCTCAGTGCACTGCTTTTAAAGGAAAATAAAAGCCCTGCACAGCACTTTAAAAGCTGTTTCGTTAATTTAATTAAGAAACTGCAACTCACCTTTGAGTTGTATACAATTACTTCTTTTGTTTGTGTGTTTTCATTGTGCATGGCACATCACTACAGCACAGTTGTACATTATAAGATGATTTAAACCACTTAACCTCCACTTAAAAGACATCAGTGCGGGCCTAAAGTCTGTGCTTAGATTCACATTCACTTTTCCTCTGGTGAGATTAAAGGATAAAAATAACATTAACGCAGTAAGTTTGATTTCTGCAAAGCCTCCGTCCCACTGGTGGGATTCTTTCACACAACACTTATCCCCCAGCAGGCTGAACCACCTGCAGTAACTCCCGATAAAGAACACCTGAAGTGCTCAGCAGCTTGCCCTGATGCAAGGGGAAGGTCGCTGTTCTGACCGACTGCAGTCTCAGCTGTGCTGACACCAATTCACAAATAGGGATGTTTACCCAGAAAACAGCCCTCCAGTATTTCAGAATTAACCACTTTACCTCTTCACATGGCCAGGTGGAATCTGATGGCTGGGGAGGTGTTAAGGGGTGCTCCTTTCCTGGAAGCCCTCACCCTGCGATACGGCATCCGTGATCACTGTGACATCGGAACTTCCATGGCAACCAGCAGTGAAGTCACTGGGAAAGAAATTTCATTGAAAAGGGGAAAATTTTTCTACTGGAAGAACAAATGTTGGAACTGTTTAAGAATCATATGAGTGATGCAATTAAATGTATGTGAGAACAAGCTAATCCACATCTTCTGTGGATTCAAAACAAAATCTGAAAGGTACAATCAACAATTTTTGGAGGAAGTCCAAGGTGATACATCAAGAAGTGACAAGTCTTTGTTGTTTTTTTATTATTTTTTTTTTTAAGGACAAAAAGAAATATTGTACTGCGGACAAAGGCCCAAAATAGCACAATGAATCAGTCCCAAGTGTGTTCCAGAGGCTGTGGTGGATCACCAAGATCACCCACGTGGCTGGGAAGGGCACAGTACAGCTGAGATGCAGGACACCGCAAAAAAACACCAACGACAATTAAGAGATTAAAGGGATTTATTTAAGTGTCAAGGTGAAGAGAAGCAAGAACATAAATTGGAAACAGGATGACTGGATAAATTCCTGCAGATAGGAAATAGAGTTTTTATAATGTAATGAGAAAAGCAAGAGACTGAAAGCCTCCAAGGAATCAGCCCAGCTCCTGAGGAACACACGACAGGGAAGATGTTTGCATTGTGCCCCTCTCAGGCAGCATTAGCTGGCAGAAGGCTTCAGAAGAAAATTGTGGCAATGCTATATACCTATTTGAAACAGTAAAAGACAGCAAACGGAGCGTGGAAAGCCATTTTGAAGTGCTGATATTCCCTCAGCTATGCACTACCCAAGCTCACTGACAGGATCCCATACTCAAAGAGGTTTTAGTGAGGAAAATGTAGGAACTGACACTTTCTGCAGAACTCATTAGCGGGCCTTTTACCCTGGAACAGACGAGTATAGACTTCTAACGAGGAAAAACATTTACTGAGCACCTGGCATTAAAATACACATGCAAATAAAAAGCCTTTTGGTTACAATTTCTTTTCTAAATACCAAGCAGATAACTTTCATTTTAACCACAACGTGATGTTTAAACACATCCTGCAGTCACCTTATAAATGGCTTTCATATTGCATGTTTCAGTGACCACACTGTTGTGGATAATGCTTCCAAATATGTGGTGTTTTTTCACCCAGCCATTTTTTCTTAATTAAAATCGTATCAGCGTAGGCAGTGCAGGGTAATCAAAATAAATAATTTGAGTTTTCTGTCATTTTTCTGGTACTGATTTTTGAAACAAAGGTAATCCTTGTGGAAAGAGAAGCTCGAAGGCATTGTTCTTGTGTATTATGATGAAACAAGGAATTTCCATGGAAAAGGCACTCAGAAAAGAGGCAGTGAACAGAAAGCGACCAGACCAAAGGAACTTGTGTGTGCACAACCATAATTTAACTCATGTTAGAGGGTAACAACCACTTAGGAGCGTTATGTATTATTTTTGGGGAAAATAAAGTTTATTTGAGGTGCTTTTGCATTTTTGTAGGACTGTTGACATCTCACGCAGGTGGACGGGAGCACCAGGCCCCAGGCTGCGGCCTACCCCAGGCCCTCAGTGGGGCCAACCGGAGAGCCCAGCCCCACAGCCCCGACCCCACAGCGGGTCCCTGGGCCCGACCCACGCCGTGAACTCCGGCTCCCGGTCCCCGCAACCCAACTCGGGCCCGGCTGTGGCCGCACGGCCCCGGGTGTAAAATGGATCCCCACAGGGGAGGCCGTGACCCCGACGTGATTCGAACACGCAGCCTTCTGATCTGGAGTCAGACGCGCTACCGTTGCGCCACGAGGTCTGCGAAACCACAGCCCCCGCCTGCCTCCAAGAGCCTGCGCGCCCCCCCGCGCATGCGCGCCCCCGCCGCCCAGCGAGCCGCCCGCCCGCCTCAGCCGGCCACGCCTACCCGCGGGCCGTACCACTGGTGGGGGGGAGAGAGGGGGGGGCGCTGCGCGGAGCCGCCTGGCGGAACCCACCTGACCCTCACCCCTCGGCGAGAATTCCCCCCCCCCCGTCTCACGTGGTCCGCTCCAGCTCCCGCGCCCGCCACTCGGATTTAAAGGGGCCGCGCCGCGTTACATGCGATGAGTTGGGGCCGGGCGCGCGTTCTCAGCGGGTGCCGGTGCCCCCATCCCCGCCGCCGAGCCACCCCGCGGGGCTCACCCCCCCCCCCCCATCCCGCACCGCTTTACTGCCCGCCCCCGCTCCCCATTCGCACGTGTAAACGGGACCCGGCGTCACTCCGGGTGGGGGCGGCTCGGGGGCTGAACCCGGCTTTGTTCCAGCGGCCGGGCACGGGGCGGGGGCGGGGGCGGGGGGACGGAGGGACAGAGGTTCCGGGGCAAAACCCAACAGCGACCGGACAGGGACAGAGAGTGGGGTGGGAGTAGAGTAGAGCAGGGTAGGATAGGGTAGGATAGGGCAGAATAGAGCAGGATATAAGATAATAGGATCGAGCAGAATAGACCAGGATAGGATAGGATAGGATAGGATAGGATAGGATAGGATAGGATAGAATAGAATAGAATAGAATAGAATAGAATAGAATAGAATAGAATAGAATAGAATAGAATAGAATAGAATAGAATAGAATAGAGCAGGGTATAAGATAACAGGATCGAGCAGAATAGACCAGACCAGGACAGAGTAGAGTAGAGTAGAGTAGGGTAGAGTAGAGTAGAGTGGGAACAAAGTAGGGTTGGATAGAATGGAATGGAATAGGATAGAATAGGATAGGAGAGAAAGAGAAGAGAAGAGAAGAGAAGAGAAGAGAAGAGAAGAGAAGAGAAGAGAAGAGAAGAGAAGAGAAGAGAAGAGAAGAGAAGAGAAGAGAAGAGAAGAGAAGAGAAGAATAGCATAGGATAGGATAGGATAGGATAGGATAGGATAGGATAGGATAGGATAGGATAGGATAGGATAGGATAGGATAGGATAGGATAGAAGCAGACTAGATTAGGATAGGATAGAACAGAACGGGGTGGATGGGATCAGATCAGCAGGCCAGTCTTTCAGAGCAAACCACAGCCATGACGTGCAGATGCATCTATAATTTACAGATAGATTTATAATTATCTTGCAAACTGGGCACGCTACAGCAGAAGCCATGGGGCTGGGTGTGTTTATTTGCAGCTCCAGGCACCCGGTGAGCAGTCCCCACCCGTGTCCCGGTCCCCAGCCCCGAGGTTTGCCCATCCCAGGTGCCCCACGGCAGCGGTCGAATTTCAAAAGGATGTCAATTTGTACTACCGAGGAGGGAAGGGAATTAATTGTATTTGTATTGAAACCAGCTCAGGGAAGGGCAAAGCTTGGCGTATAGCAAACCCCCCGATCTCCAAACGTCTGTAAAACCCATACTCCAAAAATTGTCCAAAATCATTTGGCGTAGGAAATACGACGGGGACAGAGCCGCTCTGTGCGTGGATACGTGCGCTCGTTTGCAAATGCCACGATTATCTTCTCGCATGGCTTTCCAGAGATGATCATTTACCGTGCGACAGCGCACAAGGCTGACCTGGTCTGCTGTCTCTCCGAAGTAGAGAAAAGTCATTTACTGGCATCATGAAAACAGCCTAAAAATAGCCGGTTTCTATGGCTACTGGGGCTGGGAGACTCCTGAGGAACAAGTCTGGGTAGGTCCCTTCGTGATGAAATCCAGGCAGCGGGATGAAAGGGAAGGACAATAAAGGAGGGTGAATGCTTTGATCCTCTTCAGGCACCGCTGCGGAGAGAGTTCTGTGCCTTGCGTCTGCCTGCAGTGATCAATACAGGCTTATTAGGGGGGGAATTAGGCAAACTGGCTGGATCTAGCCCGATCCCAAGGCAAACACCTCCAAACGGGCAGCGCTTTGTTGAGCCAGGGCGTCCTCAGTGCCTGCTGCACGCCTGTCGGTGCCTCCTTCTGCAGGGTTTGGTTCTGGGGACGGGTCTGAGCTGCGCTGGGGAGAGGTCTGGGGGTGTTGGGGTCCCGTCCAAGCTCATCTCCTTACAATTAATATTTTTGTAGCCACCTCACATCACTGTACAGATCGGTTTGCTATAAAAATGCATTCAAGAACCCTGGTGTGGTGTCCCCGACCTGCACCCTGGCCTGGGTTGGGTTTTCTCCCTGCTTTTTCCCTGTCCCCACCAAAACCTTTAAGATCGTGGCAGAGGAGTTCAGGCTGCCACTTTTTCCTCGGCTCACCTCCTGCCAGGTGCACGTGCACCCTCCCAGCTCGCTGCCCAAACTTCTCTGCATCCGAACCAGCTGCTGGTGCTCAGTCCCTTACCCTGCTCCCGTCGTGCAAACACACATCTGTACTGAAGTGAGCCAATATTTACACTCGGAAGGGAGCCTGAGGCAATGCTCTGGTTATGTTGATCATTAAAACTGATTTTTCCCCACATTCCCGACTCCCAGTCCTTAGTTCATTGCAGATGATGCTATGGGCTCCATCCCCAGGGCTGGTGCGTGGTTGTCCCTGCCTGCTGATGGATTTCTCCCAGCCCTTTGGCACCGGAGGGGAAGCTCAGGGCGTGCTGGAAGGGGCCAAGCCGTGTCCCATCCGTCCCCAAAGCCCCAGGCACCGCGGGCAATGGGCAACCTGCCAGGGCAGCCCCCCTCCTGCACCCTGCCCCTGGATGCTTTCCCTGGTGTAATAGGATTAAGGAAGGATTATTGCTAGTGGGAATAAATGCATTTTTCAGGAGCCCCGCTCTCCTCTTCCTGAGGAGCGATGCTGGTGGAGGCTCCCTCCGTAAAGCCTGGGAAGCCGTGGCACGGATGAGGCTCGTGTCGTGCCAGGGGATTTGCAGAGAGCCCAATGGTGTGCAGGGTGTAACGGAGAGGACAATTTGCAGCCCTTGCATGTCTGCACCCCTCACCCCGAGGGCAGCCCCGAGCTGCTCAGCACCCGAGACAATTTGGCAAGGGCAGTGTCAGGCTCCCTGGGGGTCCCTGCGCCTCCCTTCCTCTCCGGAGGGTGGAGAAGCCTCGGAAAAACTCTTGGAAACCATTGGAGGGACAACTCCAGCTTGCAGCACATTGCCATCGGCGCTGGTAAGATTTAGCTATTATGGTCTCACTCATGTGGAGTCGCTTCTGGAGTGGAGAAGCGAAAGCCGGGTGGATGAGCCAAAGGCGGCGTGTCTGTCACTTGGGAGAGCAAGAGGAAATCCCGAACAAGAAGCAAAATCCCAGCGTCTGAAAATGCCCAGGGTTGTGCAAATGTGGGGGAGACAGAAAGAGACGGGGAGGGAGTGTTTTTTCTTTGACAAGAGCTGTCGAATTCCCAGCCTTCGCAATCTCAGGAGCATATGCTGCCCTGCCAAAATGCTGCCATTGGGAAGAGGAGGAGAAAAAAAAAAAAAGAAAAAGAAAAAAGGGAAAAAAAAAAACACAACAACTTTGCTTTTTGCCCACTTCAAATTTGTCAAGTGGAAGCTGACAGCAGCGAGGGGCGAGCAGCGGCGCAGGGCGCAGCTCTTGGCAGGTTCGCTGCAGAAAAGCGAGGGGCTGAGCCTGGTGGGAAACAGCGCGCGGCTGAAAGGACCTTCACCATAAAGCCCGAGGTCAAGTCATTATGATGGGGAGGGGGGGATCAAAAAGCACCACGAGCCGTTTATGAACACAATAGAGGTCAAGCCAGGAGCAAAGCATTTTGCTCGGAGCCACGGTGGAAAGCAGATTGTTGCTCTGAGAGCTCCATCCATCCAGGGAGGTGGAGAGCCTCTCCTTCAAAATAAATGCAGCTGGGGTGTTTTAGCATTCGTGCTGCACCTGGTTAATTCCTCGGGTCTCCGAATGCACACGGAATGGGTGTGGGTGAGCGGCTGCCTGTCCCCCATCTACATCCTGCATTTGTTCCATGCCCGTCTCAGGACCTTTTTGCTGGAAACGGGAGTGCTGGAGATGCAGGGACAGCCTGAGCAGGCGCAGAGCTCCCAGCTCGTCCCTTAGCACCCAGGGGACACCCCCAAGCCCTGACGCACCCCCCCGACACACACAAGGCTCCCTTGCAGGGCTGCTCTCGGTGCAAAGCCGAGCACCCAGGCCGACACAAGACCTCAGCACGGTTCTTGGCTGCAGATCTTTACCTGCCAGACCTTGCTGGGTCTGCAAGCAGAGGTTTAGCACCGAAGGTTACACCGTAAGGAACTGGGCCACCCCCCCCCCCCCCAAACCCCACAGCAATATTTTAGCCTCTGCAAAACCTGGCAGAGAGAAGCTGCCCGAGATTTCTCCCAAAGCTCTGCTTCTGATGGGCACCCTGCTCACACCCTCATTAGTGGGGACCCTGCACATGTCCCCCCAGGAGCAGGGCACCTTCAGCCAAGCCAAAATGTGGGTGCATAGGCATTAATCTGAGAGGCTTCGGCTTCCCTCGGGGCCTTGGCAAAGCTGTTCCTCGTGCGCTGCCTAAGTAAAAGGCTGATGCAGCCTCAGAGGCCCCAGAGGAGACATTACAGCCTGCACTAACCGCGGCATTTTCCACCGATCCGTGCACGCCAGGCTGAAATCTGCTGAGCTCGATGGTGACAAATGACAGGGCCAGCCATCCCGGCTGGCCATTGCATGGCAGATACCCTGCACACCTCCTCTCCTGCCGAAACCAGGAGCTCAGCAAGGAAATCCCCAGCTGGGAACGCTGCCCTGGGGCTGCACCGCTGCGTCCCCCCAGCTCCACATCTCCTAGGCTGGAAGAGGGGAGATAAAAAGTGCCCCGAGCCCCCCAACCTTGGGGCTGGTGCATGGGGACCGCAGCCCCGACAGCGGGCACCCAGCAGGAAGGATTTAAAGCTCCTCGTGTTATCGGTGCTCCTGGCCGGCTTTTTGTGCTCAATCCTTTGGATAAGGAAAATAAAAGAATGGTCCTGTTGGCTGAGCCAACAGAGCTCCAAAGGGGAGCTGTCACTGGCAGCTACAGCTCTGTTTGTTAAGGGCAAATCTGCTCTGAGAGCACCGGGCGAGCCCTGGAAAGGTCAGGCTGGTTAATCACGGGGGGAGGATTTGCTCTGCAAGCCTGCTCGTCCCCCGCTGGGACCACGGGGGGCTCTGTGGGGGGGTCAGGATGCTCAAATCCATGCGCCCCCATGCCGGGGGCTTGCCCTCTCCGGATTTACCCTTTCCTATGGGCTGTCCCTCCTGGTTTTCGGCACGTCTTGGAAATGAGAGCACCGGGGCCACGGCAGCTGCCTGCTCCTGAAATGAGATCTCGAATTTTGGGTGCGTTTAGGGCCAGGGAGGCAGGCTGCAGCCTGTCCCGGCATCGCAGCACCAAGACCCCAGCAACATCCCCAAATCCGTGGGGGCTCCGACAGTCCTTGGGGGTGTCTGAGCAGGGACGTCTGTGAGACGCCTCCTGGAAGGCACAGCATGCAGGGAGCTCCTGTATGGCTTCAACTCTAGGTAGGAAGGACGCACAGACAGGGGAGAGGGGAGAAGGGGACCCTGGGGACCTTGGGGACAACAACAAAGCACAGGGTGAAGGTGGCAGGAGCAGGACCAGCCCTCGGGGCGAGCATCCCCTGCCTGGCAGCCGCAGGCATTGCTTTTAGCCCCTGGCTGGGGGGGTCTCCAGACAGAGAAGAGAAACACCAGCAGGAAGAGTTTAAGGGTTTCTGCTCTGCAGGAACAGGTTTGTGCTGGAAATGTCCCTGGAGCAAGACTCCAGTGCCTCGAGCTGGGGGCTGCTGGCCCTTTTGCCAACCAAGATCAATCCCCCACTGAGCCACATCGCTCAGGGTGGGTGTCACCACCGTGTCCCCTCCGCCCCGGTCCCACGGGAGCTGTGTCCAAGCCGGTTGGTGCGTTTGGTGTCCCCAAAATGCTTCGGTGTGCTGCAGCCGCGGGGCCAGGCACAGCCAAAGCGTGGAGAATGGCTTCTTGCAGTTCTGGGCATTTTTCTCGAGAGTTGCTTAAAAATAAATAAATAAATAAAAAATTAAAAGTACAGCTTGTTTTTAGGTTCTGCAGCAGCGAGACCGCTTACCACCCCGGGCCGGCCTCCCAACACTACGGCCCCAGGAGGGGCAAGGCCTGGCCCTGGCTGCTGAACCCCCCTTGGGGTCTGTCTGTGCGCCTTGGCAGCGGGCTCAGGGGGGAATCCTCTGCCCCATCGGGACCCAGGCGGCATCCAACAGCGGCTGTTGGGGTGCTGAGGGCTCGGGGGGGTCCGTGCAGGATGGGTGCAGCACCCAGGTAATGTCCACAACTCCTCCTTGTGCCTCTGGGTGCGGCCATTCCTCTGCTTCGGCCCTCTCCTGGCCGGGCAGGTCTGTGGGGAGAGAAAAGGAGCCGGGCTGCAGGCAAAGGGTGTTGGAGAAGATGATTTCTCTCCCTCTGGCCACCCTGAGGAGCAAAGCCACCCGTGCTGAGCATCTCCTCAGGCACAGGCCCCAGCCCCCCGCCAGCCCCCTGCCCCTTCCCACCTGCGGTCCCTGGTGAGGAGAGAGGAGAGGGGGCACCAAATGTGTCCCCCCCAGCAGCTCCAGTGTCCCGAGGCCCGTCTGCTCCTCACACTGCCGTCTCCTGCTCCGCGCTGGACTCCTCCTTCTTCCTCTTCATCTTGCAGAAGCCATGGAGCCCGCAGAAGCAGGCGAAGGTGAACTGGGGCATCCCCCGGAGCAGGAGAGGTGTGGGGACACCCCAGGAGACCTGGATGGGGACAGGGAGAGGTGGAGAGATCAGGGCAGCTCCTGCAGGTGCCCTGCAGGGGATGCACAAATGGGACAGATCCCCCAAATCACCCGGCTGGAACCAGGCTCGAGCCAACCCCAGCCCCTCTCCGCTCTAGGGGACAATGGGGACAGACGTGGGGACAGCTTGTGGGGCCCGAAGGGGATTTGTGGGCCCCGGGGGCTCAGCTGAGAGCAGCGTCCGCTGGCGTTGTGTCCATTTCCAAAAGGATAAAATAATGCCCCAAAGCACAGCCCGCATTACGGCCCAGCAGCTGCAGAATGTAATTATGCAAACGAAAGGCTGCTTTTTTAAAATAAACAACAGATACTGGCAGAAATACCATCTGAAAGCGAAACCTTCGTTTTCTCCCCGTTTTAAATGGTAGCGTGGTGTGCAGGTTACCAGCCCTAATTTTGCCAGCAAGCTGTGCCCAGCACCAGTGGGAAACATCCTCACCACATCGCCCTCCAGCCCCATGGGAGCACAGAGACCCCAGCACCCACAGCATCACCAGCACGTGGGCTCTCTGCAGAGCCCTCATTCAGCGTTTATTCCCCAGCAGCACCGAGAGGGAATAGCTCAGGGCCTCAGTTTACCTGCCTGTGAAATGGGCACAGTGGGCAGCGCTCAGGCTATCGAAGCACCAGGTGGAAATCTGGTGCGTGAGACCCAGAGAGCCACAGACACTGAGGGCAGCGAGCAGAGAGAAACCCCGGACAGCGGGGAGGGGGGCACTGTGCAGCCCCCCAACCCCACCGCCCTCACCCTAACCTCCCTGCAGCCCTTCCCTTCGTGCAGGGGGGATGTCTGCCGCCTCCCTGCCTTCCCCCCTCCGAGGGGCCCAGCTGCAGCACAAAGCCAAGGGCAGCAGCGAGAGGTTTCATTCTCTGCCCCCCTCCCCAGCCATCTGGGTACCTGCCCAGCAGCTCCCAAATTAAATCAGGCTACCTCTGGAGCTCACAAATCACGACAACAGGCTCTTTAATGAGTCTCCCGTTCTGAATGGCTTCCCAGCGTAGCGGCAGGTCCCCGCGCCTCTCTTTGTGCTCTTGCTTTTTGTTGGGAGCCTGAGAATGGGATTTGGGAGGGAGCGGCTGGGGCAGAGGGGCTGCGCGGGGCTGCTGCGCCCTCCTGGCTCCGCAGAGCTCCAGTGGGAGCAGAGCAAAACCCCTCTGCCTGCAGGGAGGGGGAAGCCTCAGGGACCAGTCCCTGGGTGGGCACAGTGTCTGGATCCGGCGCTGCACACCCCCAGGCTTATGCAGAGCTCCCCACCACAGCATCCCACCCTGCCCAGCACTTTATTCATCGGGGGAAAACGCCTGTGGCAGACCCCCCAAGAAGGCTGGGCTGAGCCATACCCGCTCCCCCCATGCCCGTCCCTGCGGCCCCGTGCCCCCCACATCTCCCCGTGCCCTCCACGTCTCCCCGTGCCCATCCGTCCCCATGCTGCAGACACAAAAAAAAAAAAAAAAAAAAAAAAAAAAAAAACACCAAAATCCTGGGCGGTCGGGCTGGCAGGACCCCCGTGTCCAGTAGGGAGCTATTGATATATTTAGAGGAGCTTGTAACGGCGAGGCTTTTCAGGCTGACCCTCTGCCTCCCATTCAGGCAGCGGACAATGATGAATGAGCCCCGGAGAATAGAGGCAGCCCAGCTGAGGCTGGCGCTCCTGTTCTTCTTGAAAAGGTAGAAAAAGGATCCTGAAGGAGCAAGGAATAATTAAAAAATAAATGAACTGGCTTGGGCAGCGATGACAGAAGCCCTGCTTGATTTGCAAGGGCTGGGCATGCTTCACAGACCCATGCTGCCCTTTCTATTCAAGGGAGAAGATCCTTTGGATAAAACTCGGCTGCAGCAGGGAAAATGCGAGGAACATTAAAAATGTAAAGCTAGAGAATTCTCTTTAGTCAACTGCATAACCCCAGGCCATGTTTGTCACTGTCACAGTGATGAATTGGGAGCTGTCTGGAATCAGCATGCTCACTTTAATAATGTCACTTTCCCTGGACCCTAAAAAATGTCTTTCTGAACCAGCTGGACAGAGCCAATTCCTTAGCCCGGCAATTACCCGTTTCCCTGGGTTCTGCCTCGCATCCAGGCAACTCTCAGCAGCGCAGGCGAGGTGGGAAATCTTCCCTCCCTCTCGCCCAGCCCCAATTCCTCCCCTCGAGAGCCCGACACGCTGCCCTGGGCTCAGCACATCGTGGTGGGGACGGGCTCAGGGTGGTGGCTGCTGGGTGGCCCCGGTGGCCACGGGCATGGGGAAGGCATGCACAGGATCAGGAGCCCACGTTTTGGCTGATTTTCTTACTTTCCTCTGCCCCAGCTTCGCTTTTTTTTCTTTTTTTTTTTTTTTTTTTTTCCCTCCTGAGAAATGCAGTCAAATTAACTTTTAGCTACTTGGTTGGAAAAAAAACAACAAAAACATTAAGTTTTGCATTTTAAGCCCTGAATTTCAAAGCTGCCTTTTGCCGCCAGCATGTCGGTTTTTTCCTGGGAAATGGGATCATTTGCAATGGAAATCGGCCCCTTTTCTTTTTTTCGCAGGAACTGAATGCAATTAAACCGTTTGTAACGAAACGTAGAAAAGTTCCCAGAAATTTTATTCCCTTTGCCTTTCATGACAGCCAGTCTGTCCACCTCTACAGCCAAGAAATGACGGAGGGTTGGGGGGGGAATCTCCAGCCTGGACTTCTAAAAGCTGCCGTGCAGATGCTCAGAGGAGTACCCCGGGGTGGCAGAGCCATGCTCCAGGAGCATCCATCCCTTCGAGGCACCGCAGCACCACGCAGGGCAGCTGCTCCCTGCGCCCCTTTCCTGAGCATGGGAGCCCTCCCCACGCGGCACCCATCACACGAAGGGACTCAAACCCTTCCTGACCCTCGCAGCCGCAGGATTTGCCCAATTTGTCTGTATTTCAGCTGAGCTTTCCAAGCCATTATTTCCTAGGGCTGCTTTTTTTATTTTTGCTTTTTTTTTTTTTTTCTCTCTGCAAACCTCGAACGTAGCGCTGCTTACAGCCAAACCTAAGACAAAGCCAACTTCAAAGCAGCGTCTGTAACGAGCAGCAGTGCATTAAAAAACCAGCAACAGAGGAGACGAGGAGACCGGGCTAAAGCTAACCTGAAAAGAAGCACCATCCCTTTAAGGAGAGATAATGAACGGAGAGGCTGTTGCTTGGCATGTTTGCAGAGAATCGCTAATTAAAACATCGCTTCTGTAAAGTATGCTGATCCCATTGATTCTTCCCCCCACACAGTTAATTTGCTGCTAGGAAGGCAAAGTCGCAAGGGTCCTCATTATAAAAATTTCACTGGCTGCAGCTAATGGTTGTAATTAATAGGTGCAATAAATTTCAAATGGGCAGCCAGGGTGTTCATTAGCTGTGGGCTGACTCAGCACCGGTGGCCTCACCAGTTACTAAATAACCCATTTCCAAGCAGCCGGGAGGAGGAAGGTGCTCGGTGGCACCACCGGCACATCCATAATTCCCCACCAAGAGCAGAGCTGAATAAATAATTCCCAGCAAGTCACAGATTTATCTCGTTTTGTCTCGTTCCTGAATTGTCCAGGCAAAGCTCCCCGAGCTCTGCGCCAGCTAACTGGGGGCAGGTTTTCTCAACAGCCGTGCGGGAGCAGCCAAGTGACCTGAATTTTGTGTGGGATCAGCACTCGAGGAAATGAGCTCTGAAAACCCGAGTCCTGCAGGAGGACGGGCACACCTCCTCCCTCCCAGCTGCACTTTGCTTTCAGTTATTTACCCCGCAATTTCCAGCGCTGCGAGGAGAAGAGTGCCGGGGTGCCAGCACATCCCGACACCCCCATGGAGATACACCAGCGCTTGCTTCTCCATCTGTGTTTCTACCCCAAAAAAGCCACTTTTTGGGACTCCTGCTTTGGAGCATGGGTTGGATGGTGATGCAAGGAGCGGATGAATGCCTGGTGACAATACCCCAAGCCCCGATGAGTCCTTGCATGACGCCCAGACCCGTGCGTGCCCGCTCTGACAGCAGCCTGCATGGATGTGCCATGGCTCTGCCCACCAGAGATGTGGGCTGTGGCGTGTTCAGGAGTGTCCTGGTCCCGTTCCTGGCAGCCTGCACCAAGGCTGGGCTTCAAACCCGCCCCCGTCCCCGCTGAGCATCCCCCTCTGCTCCCTTGTGATCCCCGGTGCCCAGCCCCATGTGTGCTGGGGGCGGCCAGCGAGGTGCTGGCATCCCACGGAGCCCCATCAGGGCTGGGAGCTGTCACAGCTCTGATTAAAAAAAAATAAAAATAAAACAGCAACAGCTTTTCACTTTGTTATCACCTGCCTGTAATTAAAACGTTCATAATTGGCACTCTTTCCCCTGGTTATCTCTCGGGACTGGCATCCTCGGGGCTGGGTGACCCAGCAAGAAGCCGCGGCGGCTTTCCCAGCGCAGCGTTACGCAGTGAGCTGGGCACGAACCGGGTGGCTCCCACGTGCCCAGAGCCAAAATTACGGCTGGTGCCACGCTGGGGGCGAGGAGGGATGGCCGGGGCCGAGGTTGCAGCACAGGGCTGTGTGTCGAGGCACGCGGCTGCGATTTTTCCTCCCTGCAGGGCAGCGCAGAACAAGCCCCGACCTCACCCGCTGCCAGCTCGGGGGTACGGCAGCTCCACACCCAGAGGAAGCCGAGGACGGTGGATGTCTGTCTCCTAAATGGCAGTTATTATCTGTAATTAGTGACTTGTCCTGCTCCCGGGAGCTCAGGAAGGCGCAGGAGGGCTCTGGCTGGGCACAGGAGCTGGAGCTGCCCGGGAGCACCCCTGCTGCCGCTCGTCCAGCTCTCTCCTCTGGACCTGGGATGGGATTTTGGTCCCTGCCTTTGTGAGAACAGGTGTGTGCTGAAGTTCTCTAAGACACTTTGAAAACGCCAACCCGGCCTCCTGTTCTATTCCAAGCTGTGAATGTTTTATAACACAAGAGCAGAGGGGTTTTGCTTTGCTGCCTT